CTCATCCAGACCCACACCACCCTTGTGTTAAATGAGGACAAATCAGCCACGTGAGCACACCAGCTGCTGCCATGCGAGGGTGAGGTGCCCATCAGATTACCAAGCATGGCATCATGACTTTGCTTACAGATGAACAAGGTTGGGGGGATTCTAATTCAAGCTTCCTGCAGGGAGGGGAGCAGGACCAGCAGGGGTGGGGCTCTGCTTATAGGCAGGTCTCCTTGTAGACCCTATGGGCACTTTATTACCAAGCACTGTCTGTCTCCAAAATCATTGTGTGCACCTGCAAGTATGTCTAAGTTTGTATCTGTGCTCCATCTAGTGTCCCCTTAAGTGCAGCAGCACTTCCACTGGGCCAGGCTTGGGACACATCACCTGTGACAGAATGCCTACTCTTCTCTAGAGCAGATGAGAGAAACATCACTTTCCTTCACTAGGACAAAATCAACACCCACAACTTAAAGAAGATGTTTATTTGGGCTTATGGTTTTAAAGGGTTCAATCCATGACAGCTGGCTTTAAGACACACACACACACACACACACACACACACACACACACACACACAGCATAGTGGAAGGGTATGGTTGAGGAAAGCTGTTCAATCCATGGGGAACAGGAAGCAGTGAGACAAGGGAGAGCTAGGGATAAGAATACACCCTTGAACGTCCCACCATCAGTGACCCAGCTTTTCAGATCAGGCCCCACCTCCTAACAGCACATTCAGCTATGAACTCACCAATAGATGAGTCAACCCATGATCCAATTACCTTCCAAAAGCTCCACTCTGAACACAAGAGACTTCTAGGCAAAATTTTAGATTTAAATCTCAACATTTTATTTCTGGCTCTGAGAAGGCTCATACCTATCTTATGCAGAATGAATTTAGTCTATCTCTGTGAGTCACCAAAGTCTCAATAGTTCCAGCACTGATGAAAAGTTCAAGTTGAAATTCTCCTCTGAGACTCAAGGCAAACTCTTAGTTGTAAGCCATTGTAAAAATCAAAAAGAAAATGAAATACTTTCAATATATAATGGCACAGCATAAATATTTCTATTCTTAAAGGGAGGAATAGGTGAATAGAAAGGAATTAGGCTAAAGTAAGATTGAAACTCAGCAAGGAAAACATTAAATACTGCATGTCAGCGTTTAGGGCAAGTTGTGGTGAGATGTCAACTACAAAGAGTGTGGGCAGTCCCAGTCCTATGGTCTTGTAAGTTGCAGTCCACACAGTCTCTCTTTTGGGCTGGTTCTGCTCACTGCCTGCAGCTTTCCTTGGTAACACTCCATGTTTCTATCATCTTTAATGTCTTAAGATTTCTATTGTACCCATGGCTTCACTTTCATAGCTTCATGCACTGCTGTTTCAGAGGCACATTGGTTGGTCTCCCAAGCCTTACTCTGAAATCTAGCTGGAAGCCTCCATGATCCCACAACTCTTGCATTCTACATGCTAGTAAAACCAGCATCATGAGGATGATGCTAATGTCTGCCTCAGGCAGTAGCTGGGCCCCCTTGGTCTATGGCTGCAGTGGCCTCTGAATTCCTGGATGGCTGAACTTTTGGAAACACTTCTCTAGGTAGCCTTGGGTGAGCAGGGTTTCTTGGGGTTCTTTTCTCAAAGCAAAATCTTTTAAAGGAGTTTTTACCCTTTTACATCTTTGAGCTTATGATGAGTGGGGTCTGGCCAATTCCTGAGAAGCCCTTAAGGTATCTTTCCTATTGTCCTAGTGTGAAGCACTTGGCTTCATTTTAATGAAATTCATGTTCTTAGTAATTGTACTGTCCTTGACCCCAGCTTTATAGCCCTTTCTTTCTGACAAAATTGCAAAATTTTTAAATTACTGAACTCTGTATTTTGCTCCTGATTCTCACTGTAAATCTGGCTAAAAGGAGTCAGCAGTACCCATGTTATCTCCAGAATATTGGACCCCCTTGAAATGTGCTCTACCAGATTAATTAGTTTGCCACCTTTAAATTCAACTTCACACAAAGTCTTTGGTCATGGGCAAAATGTAGACAAATTCTTTTCCAGAAGAAATATCCATGGCCTGTTGACCAGTTTCCGATAGAGTATTTGTTCCCATCTGAAATCTTCTGAGCCTGGCCTTTTCTGTCTGCATTCCTATCAACATTCTGGATTTCTGAGCTCTGACCAGAATCACCCATCAGGCTTTCCTTACAGCATTCTAGGCTTCTCTACCCTGCATCTCCAAATCTTCCCAAACTCTTCCCATGGACCATGAATCAATGGTCAGGTATAGTCACAGCAAGGACTAATTTCTATATTAGTCACTTTCCCATCAATGGTACAAATGTCTGACACCCACAACTTAATAGAGAAGAAGTTTATTTCTGTTCATGGTTTCAGAGGGTTCAACATACTGTTGACCGCTTCAAGGCAAAAAGGGCACGGTGGAAAGTCATAATAAGATGTTCAACCCACGGTGGCCAGGAGGCTGTGAGGAAAGAAAAGACCCAACAACAAAAATATACCCTTCCAGGACACACTGCAGTGATCCACTTCTTCCAATTAGGTCCCCATCTCCTAACAGCACATTCATCTATGAACTCATCAATGGATGACTCCATTGATGAATACAACACTTTCCAAAAGCCCCACCCCTGAACACATGAGATTCTGGGGAGATCTTTTAGATCACTGTCCAGAGCATGACCTTACTTGTGATTTTTCATTGGCTCTTCATGGCACCCCTGTTCGGAAGCCATCGTTGGCACCACTGTGCCCATTAGCAGCTGGATTCAGAATGGCTGAAGGCGCTCATTTGTGTTAGACTAACACTCAGTTCTCATGGTGGCTCTTTGATACTGTTCTCACCACTGAGTCTGTTTTTCCTAGAAGGTGGCTACACCTACCTCATGGAGTTTTTGTGAGCATTAAAAATTTAATGCATACTTTGTAGAGTAGTGCTTGGCACCAATAAGAGATCATTTGATATTAGCAAAAATAAATAGTATAGTCTAGTAAATATTCTTACTACTACTCTTCCTGAATGCACTTTCCATAGACACTGAGGTCACCATTTTATCTCCCACATCTTTTCTAAGTCAATGTTTAAGTAATTCCTAGCAATGACGTTACTCTATGATCACTTGTGTGGCCATCATAAGAAGTTACTCCTGTAGCATATCTGGCTACCAATTAGCCAGTACCATTTCTGTGATATTGGGCCTAGGTTTCTCTGGACTCTCCTGAGCACAGGGCACAGTCCATCAATCCTGTGCTGCTCCACGGGGATAGGTGTTGGAACTCAGGTCTTCCCTCTGTCTGCTTGGTTCTGAGGGAACTGCCATTGTCACAGCCTGGGGTTGTTGGGCTGGGTATGGGATCTCCAATGCCTGGCTTCCCATGTTTCCCAGGTGCTTGTGTTCCATCATTTTATTATTTTAAAAAATCTGCAATGTGCCAGTTCAATAAAAATAAGTCCTGTTCCCGATCTGGAAAGCACTTAACTTGATAAGGTAGTTTAAGATTAACAGCCTTTAAAACTGAGGAACATGGGGTGTCTTGAACTGAGACACTTGTCCTCCTCCCTAAAAAAGAGTCCATGCATAGGACACACCTCCCCTTCATTCAATTGCTGTACAACCACAGGAGCATGTCAATATGAGCTGATACCAAGACAGCACAATCAGCATGTCAGCATGACCTGCATTGTCTGCCCCAAGTGGCCATTTAATTACTGGTTATTCCAAAGGGTGTTTCAGATAATATGGCCTCAAAAATAAGGAAATCATTTCTGTCTTATCTTCCTCCCTAGAGTGCACTGAAGTATATTTTGAATGTGTGCTTAGCCAAGAGCATTGCTCCCTTTCCAAGCCAAAGGCCATGTTCTGGACCAGCCTCACAGGGTGGAGGGACATAGGTGACGTTGGTCCTCATGGAGTCACCTCCCACCTTCCCCACAAGCCTGTTGCTGAGAGGCCTAGGGTCAGATGGCACCTGGGGTACTGATGTGTCCATGCACCTATACAAAGAAGCAACGACACCACTTGTTATGTCAAAGCTGTTAAGATTACTGGAATTAGATGCTTACCATGTTCTAGCATCCTGGCATTTGAAATCATAGGGATTTCCTTCCCTGGGGGGTTTTCAAGACAGACACAGCTTTACCAGAGTGTGGGGAGCAGTTGAAGCCAGGCACATACTCTCCTTATGCTGGGTTTATTTGTGGCACATGTCTGACTTGTGAACTGCTTCTCGGTGGTGGGAACCCTAAGGGCTCCATCTTTATTCCCTTGGGAGCCAAGTGTCCCAGCAGGTGCCTAGGAGAGGCTAGTCCTCCTCCAACATGGCAGTGCTTGTGGATCTTCTTGGGGTTCTAATTATGTGTCCCTTACTCCTGTGCCAAGACGACTGAACAAGTTGGTCAACTTTCACTTCCTCCTCTATTTGGAAAAAAAGCTGACAATAAAATCTGTCATCCTTCCGTACGTCCTGATGTTATACAGAACAACTGAATAAAATCTTTAAAGGTCTTTGATGGAGTCCAAGGGAGGTCTAGGAATGGGGGTGGCTACATGCCATTGAGATAGCATCTTCCTGCCAAGACTCTGGGCACGATCAACATCGAACCTTGAAGGCCATGTGCTCAGCTCTCAGAAAGAGGCTCTGTTCTTAATGCCCCACTCTGTAAATCTCTGTCCCTTTACAAGCTAGCTTTCAAATATGTCCCCTAACTGCATGCCTTTATGTATTGTCCAGAACAAAGGAACGCTGTGGTCTATGTCTCCACATGAAGAGCAACTCACGTTTCCAAGCAGGAGGGGAACAGCTAGAGGAGCCCATATGTAAAGATGCATCTGCCTGCAGGAGCAGAGGCATGGGCCTGGGGGCTGGAGTTTGCAGATCTTGCTCCTGGGAGGGCACAGCCTGATGGGGACTCCCACCCTGCTGCAGCCTCGCTGGCCCATGGGCTGCTCACTGTTGGGGCTGGAGTAGAGATTTCTACATCCCATAGGGACACCTACAGGGAGACCGGAATTTTAATGGCTAAGATGCAGATGGCAGGATATATTCATGGAGACTCTTCAGTGGCTTGGGAAGGGCCCACCCCATTGCTGTTACACCAAAGGACCCCTCTGTGGTCCAGAGTCAAATACACAAGCTCCACATTCAGTTTAGTTTAGAAGAAAGACTGAGAGCTTAGCTTCCCTGGGCTCAGCCAGATAACAGGCAGACACAGAAGAACTGCAGGCCGCTGGGTGTCCCACCAGAGAGAGGCCCCAGGGAGGGGGCAGAGCCTGGTGAGGGGACAGCACAGTCAGGTAGAGGGCAGTATCCAGGTCCCCTTGGGCTGGGTGGCACTGGGCGAAGGAGCCTGGGGCCAATGGGCTCATTAATACCTGGCTCTGACTGCAGCCCGCCATGGCAAATACAGGCTATCAAAGCCCTGTCAGCACTCCTGAATGGGACAAAGAAAAGGCGCATTAATGATTAACTCCGCTAAAAGCTCTGGCTTTTGTATTCCCATGGTGCCTGGCCTATCTGGCTGCCATGTGACCAGCCTGGGCCATTTTCTGGCAGATTGGGGAAAGCTAGTGAGCAAACACAGGTGGTTCCAAGTCGCCCTTGCTGTCAGGGACAACCGGGGGCAGCAGCAGCTATGCCTGGTGAAATTAGCTGCTCTGTTTGCCTCCAGTCCTGCTTCCTGGTGCGCTTACTTTCTAAGTCGAATGTCATTTTGCCCTCATTTTCAACTGTTCGCAGGAGGTGCTAAGAAAGGGGGGGAAGCCTCCACGCGAAAATGGGAGTGGGGGACACACAGCATCATGTTCTTTGAACTCTGCAATAATGTTTGGTGACCAATGCAAAGGCCGGGTAAACTAATTAGAACCTCTCAGGTCTTTAACTCCCTGCAAGAGCAAATTTATTCTTCTCAAAGGGAATTATTTCAGAGATCCTGGCCAAACACACAAGCCACTGCTATGACATCACAAGCCTGCCCAAGGAGACCCCAGCTTGGCACCCTATGTCGCCCTGCCCTGTAACCCACCCATGTAGCCACACAGCACCTGGCCAGGGTGCGTGTCGAAGCCGACCTTGCCTGCTGTGGCTCCAAGTCAAGGTCCCTCCAGTGGCATGAGGTGTTTAAATGCATTTCTTCCTTGGTCTACACCAGGCAGACGTTCTTTTTCCTGTTCAAATATTTATACGTGTATATTATTGCACACGGCTTCGGCCGCTCTCGATCACACCTGCAGCCATAAAGCATAGATTATCAGCTCAAGGTGATAAAGGGCCTTTGAGTCAACATCAGAAATGAACAGAAAATGAAATAAAGTTATAAAAAGAGGAGAGCATCAATGTCTACAGAGAGTATATCAGTCTGCAGATATTCAGGCAATTAGCTACAATAAGACCTCTTATCCAAACTAACACTACCGCTGGAATGAGTCCCTACGTTTAATATTTAAATAGAGCATTCTGCCTAATTCCCTGTACAAGGACAAACCAACCCCAAACTATCTGAGGTCTTTCCATTTGCTGGGGTGCAGCTCCCAGTCAGAGCCGAATTGGGGTGTTTCAGTCAGAGGCTACACCTGGGAGGGATCTGCACCTTTCCAGCTTGGGAGACCACGGAGCAGATACCAGCAGCCCCTGGCCTCAGACACCCACACTCAGGTGGCTGCTGTCCCCTCCCAGGCCCTCTGCTTGGGTGTGGTCATGTTGACTCTGCACACTTCCCCGTCCTAGATGTTTGCTTCTTGTGAGACAAAGATAGTAGTTTCTAGGTCTCAGTGCAGAGGAGTCGAGACTGTGTCTCACATGGATTTTCATGCCAACGACACTTGGTCACCTATGGGCCCCTGCGGAGGGTGCTGGTGAGGACTTGGGTTTCCTGTAGGTGCTGACAGACAGGTGATGACTGTCACCTGGGTCTCTGAGAGCTCAAGCATCACAGGTGAATGAAAACCCCTATCATTTCATTTATATCAAATCAGAACTAAATAGCCATGAGGTGCTGACTGTGAATCTGCCGGACAGGAACAGTCCCATAGGGGTGACTGAAAACTCAGTGTCTATTCATTTATCTCAATGTCTTTTACTCAGCCACTTGGTGCTATTGAACAAAACCAAAATCTGGTTCTATGGAAAGGGACATATTGACAAATCTTTAGCTAGACTCACTGAGAAAAGAAAGAGAAAAGAAATAAATAGTATCAACCAACAGGATTCCATTAACGTTTCTAGAACACTCCACCCAATTACTGCAGAATAGCCATTCTTTCCAAGAGCTCATGGAAGCTCGACCAAGTTTTGTCTGTATCCTGGGCCATAAAAAATCCAAAAAAATTTATAAAATGAAATTGTATAAAATATGTTCTCTGAGCACAATGGAGAAAAGAAATCAATAAAAGATATAAAAAAAATTTGGAAATGCAGCAATATGTTCTCGAATAATACATAGATCAAAGAGAAAATCTTGAGTTAAAAAAAGTTGAACTATTATAAAAGGGAAATTACAGCATGGAAGCCTTTGTGGCACACAGCTAATGTAGTGCTAGAGGGAAACTGACAGCATTGAGTGTGTACATAAGCAAGAATTAAAGTCTCAAATCCATAGTATAAGTTCCTACCATAAGAACCAAGAAAAAGAGGGCAAGCAAGTCTAAAGCAAACAGAGGAAGAAACTAATAAAGGTAAGGGCGGAAATCCATGGCAGTAAAAACAGAGAACAATAGAAAATACTGGTGAAACAAAGACTTGATGTTTTGAAGACATCAATAAACCTGACAAACTTCTAACAAGGCAAGCAAAAAAAGAACACACAAATCGCTAATGTCAGGAATGACACAGAAGATGTTACTACAGACCACACGGATAACAAAAAGATAAGAAGGAAACACCACAAACAATTCCAAACATAAACTTGACAAATAAAATGAAATAAACATATTTCTTGAAAAATACAAACTATGACAATTCATCCACTGTGAGACACTTTGAAGAACCCTATCACTGTGAAGAGAACTGAATTTGTAATTTAACAACTTTCCCCCCAAAGAAACCTCCAGTCTCATAAGGTCTCACTGGAGAATGAAGCCAAATGTATAGTTAATGTTAATTCCACACAATCTCTTCTGGAATACGGAAGAAAGGAAATACTTACTAATTCATTTTATGAAGCTAGTTTTATCCTGATATCAAAACCAGATATAGTTCCAAAAAAAGAAAATTAAAAACTAATATGCCTCATGAATGTAGGCAAAAAGAATCCTTAACAAAATATAAACAAATAGAATTCAGAAATATATAAAAATAATTGTATACCATGCCCAAATGGGATTTATTTCTGAGATGTATGGCTGGTTGAGTATTGGAAATTAACCAGTGTAATTCACCATATTGTCAGGCTAAAGAAGAAAAAGTCACATGATCATATTAATCAATGCTGTAAAAGCACTTGACAAAATTCGACACCCATGCATGATAAAAAGTTTTAGTAGCCAGGCCTGGTGGCACACACTTGTAATTCTAGCACTCTGTGAGGCTGAGGCAGAAGGACTGCAAATTTTTCAGCCCAGCCTGGGGAATTTAGTGATTTAGTGATATTGTCTTGAAAAAGAAAGAAAGAAAGAAAGAAAGAAAGAAAGAAAGCAAGCAAAAAAAAAAAAAGTCTCTCCAAAAAACAAGGATAGAGGAAAACAGCCTCGCTTTAGCAGGAACCATTCACAGAGATTACACCTGGTGTAGTTGGGGATGAAGGACTGTACCTTTTCCCTGAAGACTGAGGAGAGGATGTTCCTGTCCACCGCTAATACTCATCACAGTGCTGGGGCCTCTGGCCAGTGCAGTGAGGCAAGAAAAGTAAATGAAAGGCAAACAGATCAGAAACGAGGAAATAAAACTCCTTACTTTAGGCTGACATGATTGGCTCTCTGAAAATTTCCAAAGACTCTCCAAGAAGTGTCTTAGTTCATCAAAGGAGGATGTAAGATAAATATATAAACAAAATTGTATTTCTCTGTGCTAGCAATGAACACAGAGACACCAAAATTAAAATACAATACCATTTAACATTGCTCGAAAAAAAGAAATGCTTAGGTATAAGTTGAACAAAACATGTATAAGACTTCTATGCTGACAATGACATAAATACCAAAGAAGGAACCAGCAAAGAGCTAAATAGAGAACACAGTCTATGTTCACAGATTGGAAGATTCACCATTAAAAAGATGGTAGATCCTCCTCAAATGCAATACATGTTTAATGTAATTCCTTAAAAAATTCTAAATAAGTTGTTTATAGTTAAAAACAATATTACTGTAAAATTTGGATGGAAAGACAAAGGGACTAAAATATCTTAAACAATTTTGAAAAAGAAGAATAAGTTGGGAGATACCGATTTATCAGACTTCAAGACTTACTCTGTAAAGATAGAAATCAAGATTCCTTGAAACTGGCAAAGGGTTAGACACATAAATAATTGATTGCAAGGACTGGGGATTTAGCTTAGTGGTACCGCGCCTGCCTTGCAAGCACCAGGCCCTGAGTTCAATCCCCGGTACCGGAAAAAAAAAAAAAAATTGATTGCAACAGAATAAAATAAAGACCCTGGAAACAGATCCACACAAAAGTGCCAAATTTTAACACAGTTGCAAAGATCATCCAGTTGGGGGAAAGAGCATACTTTCAACAACCAGTGCTAAAATATTGGACATCCATAGGCAAAATATGAACCTTGGCCTAAGTCTCAAACCTCAGACAAAAATTAACTTGAAGTGGATTATGGGCTTAAATGTAAAGCATAAAACTATAAAACTTTTAGAAGAAAACATAAGATAAAATCTCAGGGATTTAGGATGAGGCAAAGACTGGTTAGACTTTGATACCAAAGTCATGATTTCTAAATGGAAAACTTTATCAACTGTACCAAAATTAAAGTTTTGCTTTGTGAAAGACCCCAGTAAGAGGATGAAAAGACAAGCCACAGAAAGGGGAAAAATGGCAAACCATTTCTTCAAATAGGATGATTGTACAGGACATATAAAGAGCTCTCCAAACTCCAAATAACCTTTTAGGAAGTGAGAATGGAGAGACATTTCATGGAGGAGGATACACATATTGCACGTTTAAGCACATGAAAAGATCATTTGGGATGAGACAAATCAGTATTAGAGAAATACAAATTACAACCATAATGAGAGGTAGTGAGTATGTGGCACCAGTGGGATGGTCACTTCTGGACCTCTGGGGCGAGTCGTGGAGGAAGCCAAGCAGGAAAGCGGTTTGGCGGGTTTTGTCCCTCAGCAACTGCTCCCTTGGAGATGTGTCTCAGCAGAGTGAAAACTTGCGTTCACACAGACATCTGGTATGCATATTCACAGCAGCTTTACTCACAAGAGCCTGGAACTAAAAAGCAGCACAGATGTCTTTCAGAGAGTGAATTGTTCAGAAAAAATGTGTACATCTTCTCCGAGAATACTACTCGGCAATAAAAAGGAAAAATGTTGATACATACAACAACCTGAATGAATTGCAGAGAAATACACTGAAGGGAAAACATTAAATCTCTACTATTATGCTCTGTGGGATTCCATTGATATAACACCTTGAATAGCAAAATTGCAGAAATAGAGAACAGATTATGAGTTGCTGGGGTCAGGGAGAAGAAAAGGGTGGCAAGGTCAGGTCCCATGTCCTCTGCATCCTGCTGTGACTTCATAGTGACCGCTCTGCCCTCTGATTGGCCCCTCCTGTGCCCTCACCAGCTGGGGAGGATGGTGACTGTGGCTTCCCCAAGGCACAGGGCCCCACCCTCCCCACAGCTCACAGCTACCTGTCAGCCAGGAGCCCTCAGGGTCCCCTGAGCCCAGGAAGGCCTGTGTTCCCAAGGGAGGCTGCTCTGATAGTGAAAGCGTAAGGAGGGAAGTGATCCGGGGGTAATCAATATACCCAGTGATAAATGTTTATCCTGGGCAGAAAGCAAATACAGGCAGGTTAGTGAGCCTTTTATTGTCTGCTGTGGAGGCAGATCTGCCTTCAGCAGCTGGAGTCTTTGCTAGGTCAGGTGGCAGAAAAGTTTAACAATGTGCTGAGGACAGGTAGGAAAAGATTTGCCAAGCCTAGTATTTAGTATTTGTTTACTGTAAAATTTCCATGAATGTGTGTGTGTGTGTGTGTGTGTGTGTGTGTGTGTGTGTGTGTGCTTCCCAAGGACCTAGGACCAAAACTGGAGAACTAAGATAAAGTCCCATTCCAGTCACTTTCATTAGAGAAAGAAGGGGCAGTTTGGGGTTTGACTACAGTGAACATCTCGCAGAAAGCTCTCTCTCTACATTCTGGGTGTCCCTGAGAAGCACTGGCTCTCAGACTCAAAGGACTCCTTGAGGGGACTGTGTTCCTGACCTTCTGAGTCAGGGAAGGTCCTCAGCTTGGAATCCAGGAGCTCTGGACCAGTAGGCCAAGTTATCAACTGATACTGGCACTCCTGGCAGAAGCTCCCTGCTTGGGACTCATTGCCCAGAGGCTTTGGGTTCTTCCCAGTTGTCCACTTGAACAGGCTTCACATCAGGGTCCCGTTGTCCTCCCTGAATGTGAACACACTCAATCTCTGCTTTTGTCCCCCAGCTGAGCAGATTTCCAGGACAGCACACAAAGGTAGAAGAAGGAGCTACCTGTGGCTCAGCATGCAGGGTCAGACTAAGCTGCTCCAGATACAACTCTAGGCAGAGGGACCAGGAGTCAGAGGGAAAGCCCGGCTGAAAGGAGGTAAGCAGAAGGCCAGGCAAACAGGCTGCTTTGAGGACTCCTTTGAGGGGCTTTTTAGGTTTATAAAGTTCAGCAAGGAAGCCACAGCCATTTCCTTGACCACTTGAGCAAGTAAACTCTACCCAAGCCCAAGGTGTGCATGGAAGGAAAGGCGGGGTATTAAAAACATGGCGGTTCCAACCATGTTCACTCATTTCATTCAACAGCCTTTGAAGGAGGGGCCAGAGATGAGGAGGCTGACTCAGCGGTATCACAGTACCCAGACACCAAGAGTGGAGACAGAACTCAGTGACATCCACTCCCCCTGCTACAGAGCATCCCCAAGGCTTCCATCCCTGGGGGTACCTGCTCCCACCAGGCTGTCTGGGTACCTGACTCTAAGGATGAGAGAGGATTGTTGAGTAGAGGCAGCCTCCCTCAGGAAGCAGAGGCATCTTCTGACCACAATGGGCCAAACTGTGGAAGAGTCCCAGAGTGTTCCTGGCAAGAGACTCAGTAGCAGGAAAAGCTGGCCACTAGCTGCTCCTCTCCCCAGAAGCAGCTTCTGAAACAGAGAGCAGGCCCCAGAGATTTGTTAAGATATGCTCTTGGGACCAAGTGCTGTGGAGGGTAGGGGCAGTGGAGGAGGCAGAGTGTCCAAGGGGAAGGATGGGTTTTCAGCATCATACCTGCCAGGGCCAAGATGCCAGGCCCTTTATGACCCTATGTGGATCAGCCCTGGGATGCAGGGCTCCTAGGAACAGAAGGCACCACCTCTCTGCTTTTGAGGGAAATTAAACGATCATTACAGAATCTGGTCCTGATAGAGATCTGGTGTTGTCACAGATTGATTTCCTACAGTTCAAAGGCCTTCATTCAAAATTACAGTTGACTTCAGATTTAATGCTCATTTTGGAGAAAACAAGCTAAAGGGTAAAAGAAATTCCATTTAATTTAAATAAGGAAGAAACACAAATTCTTATTGAAATTAACCCTATTGACAGCTTTAGAAATTTTCATAAATGCACATAGCAGAGGCCATATTTATTTCCAGAGGTCCATTTGCCCATTTTTCTAGAGCAAGCTATCCCAGGTTTTTATCAGGACCTTGGTTATTCATGCAAAAGCCTACATTTCCCAGCATCCCTTTGGAGGCTAGGTGAGGTCATGTGGCAGTATCTGGCCAATGAGATATAAAGAGAAAGGGTGATCAGGTGCAGTGCTTGTTTTGTGGATCCTTCCTTAGAGACCACTGCCCATCCTCCTGCTGAGAGAGGGGATCTGTGGCTGCCATCTTGGAACCTAAAGACCAAGCCAATGCCTAGAGAGAGTGGGAAAGTGAGCTGTGAGGACCTGCAAGGAATTTATAGAACAGAACCTGGAATCACGTGAGAGAAACAGACTTCTTTGTTGTTTAAATCACCCATTGTAGGTCTCTGTTATTTGCAGTAAACCTAGTCCTAGGCAGTACAAATGCATAAATATTTGACTATTTTGAGTATTGATTTTTGGTGTGTTTATTTTTGGGCATGAGATTGGCTTATTGCAAACATACATAGCTAACACACACAGAATTACAAGAGAGATTGGTGATTCTTATTTGCCATTTGGCAAACCCATTTCTTTTATAGACTTTTTGGTGCCAATATTAAATACCTGTTTATTTTTTGCCATTTTTAGTATGGAATGCAGAAGCAGGCATTTATCAACATTTATATGTTAATTTCATTTAAATAAATGACACTATGAGCAAAGTACATCACTGTAGTATGTAGAAAGCATATGGGCTTTTGTCTACAAGGGGTTATTAATTTTACACTGTCCATCTGGAGCCTGTAAAGCATCCATTCTAGGAGACAGTAAAGACCCAAGGTCACATTGAAATATCACATTTGCAGTGAAGATGAAAGTCTTGTAATGTTCGCAATTAGGAGTTACAATGCCTACAATGATTGTGAAAAGACACATTATTACCTCCTACTTTTCCACTTGCACAAAAGCACAGACAATTAAAATTTGGGTGTGGACAGAAATTCTAAAATGGCTGATGAGGACCAAATGCCATCTGAATAATCACTGAGATTTAGAAAGTAATATTTAATCTTCCCAGTTTTATCAGTGTCCTGCTATTCAGCTCTCTTCATAAGTAGCCAGCCAAAGCACATAGGAAACAAGTCAAGTACAGGGGAGGGCAACAGTGGGATGCCTGGTTGACCCTATTGATTTAGAACAATAGTACAGTTTGAGTTTAAAGTTGATGTCAAAGAAAGATTTTTGTAAAAAAAAAGTTCAGAAAAAAATCATCTCCCCCATTTTAGGATTTGAGACAGTTTCATAGAAGGGGAAATTAGGCAGAATGGAAGGGGGATTTAGCCACCTTGATTGGGGAGGTACCAGCTGTGGCTTCCAAGGCTGATATCCCACTTGTTGGGCTGTATGTGCTGCTGGTGCCCATGAGGACCACAAAGGCCACTTTCACTGTTCTGTTCCCCTCCCTTGGCTTCAGTGGAACATAACGGTAATTTATACCTTGCTTCCCTTGCTTGGTTGGGGTGAAGCTACCTTCTTGGTATCTTTTCCTGAAATCCCAGCCTTATGACTTCTTGCTTTTCTTGTCCATCTTGTTGATGCTGATGATTTTCAAGCTCTTATTTTGCGATCTGTTTCTGGGGATCAGGACACAGATGTTAGCTTTGTGATGATGGTTGGGTGATTTCTCTTTCTGTATCTTCATCTGGAAACTGCAGGGATCACTGTTCTCATTTCCCAGGTTGTCCTGCCTGAGGTTTAAACAGGATCATGATACCAAGGATACAGCATCTGCCCTGCATTTAGAGCTCACTCAGTGTTACTCAAAGGTGCTCAAGGAGGAAGACGTGTTTCGTTCATCTGCATCTCAAACTCTTTTCTTTTTCCTTTAAAACTGTACATAGTGCAACTTGCAGTTTCTTTGAGGAAGTCTGTCCTGATTGATTGTGTTTGTTCAAACTCACTAGATTAACTTCCCGGATGGTAGGGACCATACCACAGGTGACCTGGGAATATTCCTGTACATTACTGAAAATCCTGCATTCTGGAAACCACTCAGTCTTGGGGAAAGCAAGATGGTCATCCTCTTATACTTCCTTTGTTTATAATTTCATCCTACTATCTAATCACAGCGAGCAATAGAGTAGATGCTCAGCAAATACTTGATGAAATGTTGTGACATTTTATGAGATGCTTGTTTTTTGCCTTTAAGGAAGTATTCACCGCCTTTGAGGCAGGCAAAATAATGCCCACCCCCAAAGGTAAAGACATCCAAATCTTGACTGTGTTAATTTATATGGCAAAGGGTTAAGGCTGTGGGTAGAATTCAGTTTGCAATTATATTCACCTTTAAATAAGAAGATCCTCCTGGGTTACCTGATGTAATCACAAGGTCCCTATTGTGACTACTGAAGACAGAGGAGAGGAAGGGCAAGACTGTCTCTCACTCCATGGCTTTGAAGATGAATGAGAAGTGTATTTTTCAGCTTTTCTGTTGCTGGGACAAAATACCCAACACCAAAAACTTAAAAATGGAGAGATTTATTTTGGCTCACAGTTTCCATAGGTTCAGTCCCTGGTTGCTTGGCTCCAAGACAGAAATGGAATGGTGGAAAGGCCTGGTGAAGGAAAGATGCTCACACCATGGCAGCCAGGAAGTAGAGAGAGAAGGAAGGAGCCAGCATTAAAAATAGACTTTTCCAGGTTATAGTCCCAGAGATTCACCCCTGCCAACCAGGCCTTCCACCAAACACAAGACTTTCAGGACACATTTTAGAACTAAATGATAACAAGGTGGAATGTAAGTAATATAGGAGAAGGTGAGGATACCTATTCTCCCCCAGAGTATCCAGAGGAGAAAGCAGCACTCCCATCTTGGTGTCATGCCAGAGAGGCCACCGTCAGCCCTCTGACTTACAGAAATATAAGAACAGAAATTCGTGTGTTAAGTCACTAAGTTTGTGGCAGTTTGTTTCATTAGCAATTGAAGACTAATACAGTTCCATTCAGAATGTGTTAAAAGTTACACCAACTTCCTGCAGAGAAACAAAATGCATTCCATTTTAGGAATTCCTAGACCCTGACCACAGATGATAAATCATGTTCTCAAGCCAGGAGTGGTGCAGTGGCTCATACTGTAATTTCAGCACTCTAGGAGGCTGAGGCAGGAGGATAGTGAGTTTGAGTCCTGCCTGTGCAACTTAGTGACTTAGACTTTTTCTCAAAAAATATTTTTTTAAAGAGGCTGGTGATGTAGCTCAGTACAAAAGCCCTGGGTTCAATCCCCAGTACGGAAAAAAAATCACGGCCCTGACATGGAGAGCCATGTTCTAGATGGAAAGCCAGACAGGGCTCCCAGTAAGATGATGTGTGTGCCCCAAGGTTCAGGCATGTGACTGATCAGATGGATTGAGCTAGGTTCATGGAGCCAGGTCCTGGGGTGATGTTCTGCACCTCTGCCAGCACAGGAGTGGGCATGGTCACCCCTCAGAGAGTCCTGGCCTGCAAGAAGGCTCAGATCCCCTTTTTATTTTTTTTAAATTTATTTTATTTATTTATTTTTTGGTACCAGGGATTGAACTTGGGTCCTTGTGCTTGCACAGCAGGCAATGAAACCACTGAGCTAAATCCCCGGCCCAAAAAACAGTGTTGGAAGACATTTATTACCTAATTTTTTTTTTTTTTTTTTGCACCAGAGATTGAACTCAGGACCTTGTGCTTGCCAGGCAGGCGGAACCACTGAGCTAAATCCCCGGCCTCAGATCCCCTTTTTATGCCAGTTTCCTACTGAAGGACTTTTCATTTAGAATCTCACATTTCAACTCTGTGGAGCTAACAGAAAGGCAGAGTTTTCCCTGGTCTGATGCCCAGGTCAGTTTCTATGGTGACCAGGACTGCAAAGATACCTTATTCTTCCCAGTGTGGATGTGGGGAGGTGGATTCAGACTGGAGGATCCCAGAAGTCTCCAGTCAGGTCAAGGAGGAGAGCGGGACTGGCTGCAGATGGAGGGAGACCCAAAGCAAGACAGAGCCCAGATCCTCATGCTGTTTCGGAAATATATTCTGCAGTATATTTCTGCATTACTTAAGCAACTGAGGCAATAAAATACTCTGAGCGACTGCAAACTGTTTTAAACAAATGAAGACCTCATCATTCTTGATATTCATTAGAAGCATCTTGGGTTCTAAATTTCTAACCAAAGACTGTTTTTAGTAATTCTTACTCTGAATCAAGCATAGTTCCCTAAGGTTACTGCTTTGAAGGAGTTAAACTCCACTCAGTGCAAAAGCTCTGCCTGTTTATTTTATTTTATTTCTTTTTTGGTACTGGGGATCGAATTTGGGTCCTTGCACTTGTGAGGCAGCTGGCGGAACCACTGAGCTAAATCCCCAGACCCAGCCTGATTATTTCAAAATGGGACAAATCATTGCACCTGTGAAATACATAAGTAAAGCTACTTTGTAAGTTGCTTAGGAACATAGGAAAGACTGGCTATGGTTTGCATCGCAGATGACTTGAAAGTAAAAGATGAAGTGTCCTATTGTAACCATGTCGGGTTCAGTGTGCATGTGTATGCATCACAGTCTAAAAACACATAGGTTCCCAAATGTGATTTCTAAATGGTATATGACTTTTTTTCCCCCCATACTGGGGATCAAACTCGGGACTTTGCACTTGCCAGGCAGGTGAGGCACCACTGAGCTATATCCCCGGCCCTGGTGTATGATTTTTCTATTGTTACTTTTAGCTATGATTTCTCAGTTTCATCAGTGAACATCTTCAGGCACCAAAACCTTTTCCTGATATCTCCACCAGAGTTGTGGTCCTGAGTGGTTCTGACTCCTGTGTTCTCTGCTGGGTTTAGATACCTGTTAGCAATAGCGGCTCTGTGTTGGCCAGTTTAGGGCTTGTTTCTTTAGGGCTCCTGACTGAAGACTTCATGATGGAGCTGCAGGCTTGTAGGACAGACAGTGTGCATGAAGGTGGGACATTTGTGGCTCCATCAGAGCAGCCGGGCTGTCCTCCAGGAAGCAGCCATGATGGGCATACCTTCATAGCCTGGGCTATGGGGCCAGGGCAGGCCTGAGAGGAGATGAAACCAAGGGAGGCTCACACCCTGCAGCCTGAGCACTGTTGTTTGGAGCTC